CCCCAAAACCCCAAAACCCCAAAACCCCAAAACCCCGTATTTCCTAATTAATATTGATTATTCCAAAATGGAGAAAAATGACATAAGCACTCATGAATTGAATGAGACTGAACCGTTAAAAGGAACCACAGATCAGGATCAAACTGAGTCCATATCTCAGTACAAACTTAGTATGAGAAGATGGCCACTGAATATATTCTACTCCACAAGTGTAGTAGGAAGTGCCTTAGGGATGCTGGGATTCTCTCCAATCACTGATGTTATGCAAGGCATTTATGGCGTCTCTGATTTTGAAGTTCAGCTTTTAATGCTGGTGTTCGTCATATTTTACATACCTCTCATGTTTCCTGCAAATTATCTCATTGAACACAAAGGAATCAGCATTCCGATTATTCTTGCAACAATCCTGCTCATTGCTGGCGCCTGGATAAGAATGTTTGCCAATTACAGCTTTTATTTTATACTTGTTGGCCAAATATTAATGGCCATGGGGCAGCCTTTTGTGGTCACAGCACCTCCAAAAATAGCAGGGCTCTGGCATAGTGATAATGAGCAAGCTTTAGGCACTACTTTGGGATCATTAGCACAACCTATTGGAGCTGTACTAGGATTTTTACTACCTTTACCGTTTATCTCAGACTCTGATAAAGACTCCCCAGATGGTAAATCAAAAATGTTGTTCTACATTTTAATCCAAAGTATCATAATAACTGTAATTTCTTTTCCAATTCTACTGATTGTGAAGGACAAGCCAGATACTCCTCCTAGTAGATCTGCTGAAGAGTTTCTTAAAATTGTTCCTGAGAGCCAGGTTAAAAACTTCTGCAAACTGATGAAAAACAGAGATTTCTTGTCTATCTTAGGAGCATTCTCTTGCATTTTCTGTGTATACATTACTCTTGGAGCTACAGTTGGTCAGATCACAAAAGAATTTGAATTTGGAGCTCATGATAATAGCTACTTTGGAGCAGTCTTCGCAGTAGCAGGAATTCTTGGGTCTTTTATCCATGCAGTCCCACTAGATGCTTACCAGAAGTACAAGCTGCAATTCATAATAATAGGGATTACAAGCGTTATGGGAATAGTTGCAACCACTTTAGGACTCTACTCACAGATCTTTTGGGTTGCAGCACTCTGAATGGGTTTCATGGGATTTGTCCTCCTTCCTATCATCAGTGTTTCTTACGCTTTTGCAGCAGAGGTATCTTTCCCTGTGAATGAAGCTCACTCCTGAGGTTTTCTGCAGCTGATAGGTTCAATAATAGCTGTTATTATCTCTTTCGTTGTTGGAATCTTACTTGACAGTGGTTATAGATACCCAGCTTTGTACTTCCTGATAGGTAAGTCCAATTTTAAAAAGACCAAGCTAGCTAAAATTCTGAGTGTCTCTAAACTTTATTTGCCCTGAATTTTTCAAATTTGCCAATGAATTCTTATTGGGCTAGAGCTCAATAACAACATTATCATTCTTAAGACTATAAAGCTATTAATCTTTCATTAATTTAGGTGTTGTATGAATCGGATGCATTTGCTCATTCTTCGCAAGAGACAATCTCAGGAAGACAATGAGTGGGAGAAGAAACTCTTCTATAAAATCAGCCTCGACTATCAGTCTGAAACAAGGAGCTGGGAAAGATATTGATAAATTAATGCTAGCTGCTTTCAATGCCTAACTCATCATACGGGGTTTTGGGGTTTTGGGGTTTTGGGGTTTTGGGGTTTTGGGG